GTGATGCGCAGCTGTATTTTCAGCATCATTTCTGCAGTCTTCAGTGTCACATGATCTTCAGAAATCATTCTAATATGCTGATTTGCTGCTCAAGAAACATTTCTGATTATTATCAATATTTAAAACAGTTTAATATATTTTTTCAGGATTCTTCGATTAATAGAAAGATCCAAAGATCAGCATTTATCTGAAATAAAAAGCTTTTGTAAAATTACACACTCTACCATTCAGAAGCTTAGAGTCAGTATCATTAATTTATTTAGTTTTTTGGGGGAAATTAATACTTGTATTCAGCTTTAAATTGATCAAAAGTGATGGCAAAGACATTTATAATGTTACAAAAGATTTCTATTTCAGATAAATGCTGTTCTTCTGAACTTTCTATTCATCAAAGAAACCTGAAAAACTTCTACTCTGCTGTTTTCAATTTAATAATAATCAGAGATATTTCTTGAGCAGCAATTCAGCATGTTATACTGATTTCTGAAGATCATGTGGCACTGAAGACTGGAGTAATGATGCTGAAAATACAGCTGCGCATCACAGAAATACATTACAGTTTAACAGAGATTCACACAGAAAACAGTTATTCTAAATATTAAAAATATTTCACAATATTCCTGCTTTTGCTGTATTTCTGATTAAATAAATGCCGGCTTGGTGAGCAGAAGAGACTTCTTTAAAACACATTAAAAATCTAATGGTTCAAAAACTATTGACTGGTAGTGCATGCAAATGATTAGAGGTTTATAATTGTTCTGCAGGGTGTAAAAAACAACAATAAACCTGTTGTTTGTGTTCCAGGGCATCAGAACTGGCTGTTTCTTTGGATGCGCTTCCTCTGAACGAGATCCCTGCAGCGCCGGAGCTCACCGAGGTCAGTCTGGAGTCCCGAAGCCCCTCGCGCTCAGTGAAATGTGTATGAGACGCATGTGTTTAGCAGATGTAAGCCGGAGGAGATGTGTGCACTGACCGCCGCTGCTTTCTTCCAGGAGGACGCCCGGGATTTGGATGCCCTGTGTCTGGCTAAATCACACTTTGAGCTGAAGGAATATGATCGAGCTGCATATTTTCTCCGCGGCTGCCGGAGTCAGAAAGCATATTTTCTCTATATGTATTCGCGCTACCTAGTGAGATGTTTGGCTCTTGTTTTTATGTGAATGTTTTAGATCCCGTCTCTTCGGAGGTGAAATGTGAACAAAGCAATGTACTTCTTTATTCTCTCAGTCAGGCGAAAAGAAGAAAGACGACGAGACCGTCGACAGCCTGGGTAAGAGTAAGCGTTTTAAACCGTGTTCCTGGCGGAGATGGTCGTCATCAGCATGTGTTTGGTTGCAGGTCCTCTGGAGAAGGGTCAGGTCCGAAACGAAGCCCTGCGAGAGCTCAGGGTGGAGCTGAGCAAGAAACACAGCGCCGGAGAGCTGGACGGGTTTGCGCTCTATCTGTAAGTATCAGATTAGTTCTCAAATAGTGGGTTGTGGCCCAAAAACGGAGTGCAGGTCTGTGTCCTGATTGGTTTGCAGATTGAGTACAGAGTAAAAAACATTTGAGAACCACAGCTTGTAAAAAAACGGGGATCTTTTGGAAAATGTTGTCAGTTTTTCAGTCTGGTTCTCATGAGAGCACCTGAAGATTTGATTTTTACTGTGACCCATAATATATAACTATAAACAGTACAATAATTAATGATAGTATTGGTGCACTTTATTGTTTATTTTTAAAATAAAATAATCAAAATAATATATATATATGTGTGTGTGTGTGTGTGTGGTAATACTATTTGATTTTAAAATAAAAAATTAGTATTAAATAAAAATACAATTATCTTATTGCTTTTATTTCTTTTCTACTTTTTAAAAAATGTATAGGTCAAAGACGAAAAAGGGTTTAAGCATAAAAACAATACTGCTTTAAATTGTTGTTTTTCCAAAAACAAAAGTTTTCTGTTTCATTATTGTATTTTTGTTTTTGTTTTTCTGAGCAAAAAATAAATATACATTTTCCCCTGATTTACAGAAGAGAGCCACTAAAATGTCATTCAGTGTAACAATCTCGTCAGGCATATTTACAACAAAAATCAATTTATGACATATTAAAAGACTAATTACTTTCACCCCAAATACTAATCAGTTGTAATTTTACATTTTTAAAATGTGCCACTATCCTAGGTTTCGCCCATTTGTCAGTAAGAATTTTTTACTCATTTAAAACACAAGCAAATTTAAAATGCTCACTTATTCTTTTATATATTTTAATATGTACACGTCAGAATAAGCATGTTTGAATTTTTACATAAATATTGTGTTACACTGAATGACAATATAACATTATTTCAACCAAATTTTGACATTTTATTCTCCAAAAACTAATTTGAAAACTTAAAAGTAGACACTTTACTTACATTTAATGTGCTTCCTATGGACATAAAATCACTTTAGTAAATTTCTTTTGATGCGGACATCTTAACGTCTTTGATATGAATTTTCAAACCCAAAATCAGTCAGTTTTAGGGTTTCCGAGTGAAGCGCATCAGTGAATGAAGTGTCACAGTTTTGCATTTTGCTCTGAAATCAGCAGTGCATACAGTAGCCTAGATATATGCTTTCAGTTTGAATGTAAATCCTATACAGTATTACAGTTATCCGATCTAAAACACTGTGCATTAACAGCTGTCGTGCACCTGCGCACCAGTCAAACCACAATTTATTACTACATTTCTCACATTATATCACAGTTTATTCGCTACAGTTCAGAAAATGGTAATAAAATATGACAAGACCTATGACAATAAACTGTGTCAGAACAAATTCATCTTGATAATGTCAGATAACTTTGATAGAAAGGACTGTAATGAATTAGATTCAACCAATTACCAAGCAATGCTTCATTTTGTTCAGTCTGGGGTGTAAAAAGCTCGCATTAGCAATTAAAGAAAAACATGCTCGGGTCAAAGTGTCTGAATAATTTTTGATCCGGTAGTCCACTGTATGAAGACTTTTTGGGTGTAATTTGTCACAGTTCACTTTATTTTGCTATCCTCACTTACATTTATGAACTGTAGTGTCCTGCACCCACTAGTAAAATAATATGTGGTGTCTGAATAATGTTTGGTTTGACTGTAAGTGCATCCCTGAATGTCATCTTATTGGACACCAGTTATGGGGTGGTTCTGCGGAAGCTGGATTTGCTGAAGGAGGCGGTGGAGATCTTTGTGGCGGCGACACATGCTCTGCCTCTGCACTGGGGATCCTGGCTGGAGCTCTGCAATCTCATCACCAACATCGAAATGGTACTTCTTTTTCCAAAGCGACAGTGTGCTGTGTGGTTCGTGGCATGTACGCTGAAACAGAAGCTGGTGTGTGTTTTGTGTGCTCCTCAGCTGAAGTCCCTGTCTCTGCCGGAGTGCTGGGTGAGGGATTTCTTCATGGCACACATGTTCACCGAGCTGCAGATGATCAAAGAGGCGCTGCAGAAATACCAGAGCCTCATGGAAGCAGGCTTCGCCAAAAGCACATACATCATCTCCCAGATCGCCGTGGCTTACCATAACATACGAGGTGGGCGATATTTGCAGAAAGTACATAAACCTAAATCAGGAAATTCTTCTATGCTTTTACTGATTGTTTATACATATGGCTACATTTGATCTTTTTATCTGAGGTTGCATGCATTTAAAATGTCTTTTATTCTGTTCTGACCAATTGCGTAGCTTGAGCAAAGGCTTAACAGATAGCGTACACTTTCAGAAAAGAACTCCAGAAAGCAGTCTTCATAACTTTAGTGACTTTACTGGTGATTGTTCTTCTCAATTCTTTTATGTAAAACTACAAACAAGAAAAAATATGTATGAACATTATGTACACATTTACATACACATCCAGCTTAACATTACAGTTCGATTTTGTACATAGTTCCTTTTTTAACGTTATTTAAAGTAATGTACATGTCAAGAAATTATATTCAAATGAGATTATGTACAAACAGAAGAGAAATTAGCAGTACGCTACCAATAACGCGAATCATGGCTGTTTATAACAAAATATAACAATAATCCCGATCTACACTTTACTTAAAAGCACTATTTGGTATAAAATGTAGCACTTACGGACATATATTTCCAAGGTTTAAACGATGGAATCAATAACCCATAGGAACTGCATGCACGTTCAGTTGCCACTCTCCTAGGTTTTGCCCATTTGTCAGTAAGAATTTTTACTCATGTAAAACACAATAAAATTTAATATGCTCCCTTATTCTTTAATATATTTTAATATGTACAAGTCAGAAGAAGCATGTTGTTTGAATTTTTACATAAATATTGTTACACTGAATGACAGTGTAACATTTTTTTCAACCAAATTTTGACATTTTATTCTCCAAAAACGTATTTGAAACCTTAAAAGTAGACACTTTACTTGCATTTAATGTGTGGACATAAAATCACTTTAGTAAATTTCTTTTGATGCGGACATCTTAACGTCTTTGATATGAATTTTCAAACCCAAAATCAGTCAGTTTTAGGGTTTCCGAGTGAAGCGCATCAGTGAATGAAGTGTCACAGTTTTGCATTTTGCTCTGAAATCAGCAGTGCATACAGTAGCCTAGATATATGCTTTCAGTTTGAATGTAAATCCTATACAGTATTACAGTTATCCGATCTAAAACACTGTGCATTAACAGCTGTCGTGCACCTGCGCACCAGTCAAACCACAATTTATTACTACATTTCTCACATTATATCACAGTTTATTCGCTACAGTTCAGAAAATGGTAATAAAATATGACAAGACCTATGACAATAAACTGTGTCAGAACAAATTCATCTTGATAATGTCAGATAACTTTGATAGAAAGGACTGTAATGAATTAGATTCAACCAATTACCAAGCAATGCTTCATTTTGTTCAGTCTGGGGTGTAAAAAGCTCGCATTAGCAATTAAAGAAAAACATGCTCGGGTCAAAGTGTCTGAATAATTTTTGATCCGGTAGTCCACTGTATGAAGACTTTTTGGGTGTAATTTGTCACAGTTCACTTTATTTTGCTATCCTCACTTACATTTATGAACTGTAGTGTCCTGCACCCACTAGTAAAATAATATGTGGTGTCTGAATAATGTTTGGTTTGACTGTAAGTGCATCCCTGAATGTCATCTTATTGGACACCAGTTATGGGGTGGTTCTGCGGAAGCTGGATTTGCTGAAGGAGGCGGTGGAGATCTTTGTGGCGGCGACACATGCTCTGCCTCTGCACTGGGGATCCTGGCTGGAGCTCTGCAATCTCATCACCAACATCGAAATGGTACTTCTTTTTCCAAAGCGACAGTGTGCTGTGTGGTTCGTGGCATGTACGCTGAAACAGAAGCTGGTGTGTGTTTTGTGTGCTCCTCAGCTGAAGTCCCTGTCTCTGCCGGAGTGCTGGGTGAGGGATTTCTTCATGGCACACATGTTCACCGAGCTGCAGATGATCAAAGAGGCGCTGCAGAAATACCAGAGCCTCATGGAAGCAGGCTTCGCCAAAAGCACATACATCATCTCCCAGATCGCCGTGGCTTACCATAACATACGAGGTGGGCGATATTTGCAGAAAGTACATAAACCTAAATCAGGAAATTCTTCTATGCTTTTACTGATTGTTTATACATATGGCTACATTTGATCTTTTTATCTGAGGTTGCATGCATTTAAAATGTCTTTTATTCTGTTCTGACCAATTGCGTAGCTTGAGCAAAGGCTTAACAGATAGCGTACACTTTCAGAAAGGAACTCCAGAAAGCGGTTTTCATAACTTTAGTGACTTTACTGGTGATTGTTCTTCTCAATTCTTTTATGTAAAACTACAAACAAGAAAAAATATGTATGAACATTATGTACACATTTACATACACATCCAGCTTAACATTACAGTTCGATTTTGTACATAGTTCCTTTTGTAACGTTATTTAAAGTAATGTACATGTCAAGAAATTATATTCAAATGAGATTATGTACAAACAGAAGAGAAATTAGCAGTACGCTACCAATAACGCGAATCATGGCTGTTTATAACAAAATATAACAATAATCCCGATCTACACTTTACTTAAAAGCACTATTTGGTATAAAATGTAGCACTTACGGACATATATTTCCAAGGTTTAAACGATGGAATCAATAACCCAGAGGAGCTGCATGCACGTTCTTCTTGACTGCGTTCACTGAGAGAAACCGAAAGTTAACGGCAAAAGAAAGTGTAGTACCTTAGATGTCCTGTAGGAGGCGGAAAAGAAACACCGCTAGACATAAGAAACAGCACACCTTTATAGTTTTAAAAATGTGATGCAATCTAGGAAAGCCCACCACAAGTGTATTTTGCCAATGTATTTTCAGAGATTATAGACAAGATGTTATAGAATAATAATTTAATGAAAACCCAATTTTGACAAAAATTGACATTCGACCTATCCTATCCTAACAAACCATACATCAATGGAAAGCTTATTTATTCAGCTTTGAGATGGTGTATAAATCTCAATTTCAAAAAATTGACCCTTATGACTGGTTTTGTGCCATTGACATTGACATATTGTCACAACTGCATGTTTATTGTATTGATGTTTCATCCGGTAAAACGTCTCTATCTGCATTTTATTCAGCTACATGGTTTTTCTCCAGCATAGAGAAGTGTCCAGCAGTTATTTTTTCTCTTCAGTGGATGCATAAGATTTTCTGACAAAAATTAAGAAATTACTGTCACAGATTTTGGAGATTGATAGTTATGGCTCCCTCATATTTAACAGGTCACCCTGTAATTTTCTGTAAAATACAATGATATAATAATTATTATATTTATTCTTAAATATTGTATATTATAGTGAAACAGTGTTATTACAATAGTGATATTTTCTTATTTTGTTTGACGTTTTTTTAAATATTAATAATATGTGACCCTGGAGCACAAAACCAGTCATAAGGGTCATTATTTAAAGTAATGTACATGTCAAGAAATTATATTCAAATGAGATTATGTACAAACAGAAGAGAAATTAGCAGTACGCTACCAATAACGCGAATCATGGCTGTTTATAACAAAATATAACAATAATCCCGATCTACACTTTACTTAAAAGCACTATTTGGTATAAAATGTAGCACTTACGGACATATATTTCCAAGGTTTAAACGATGGAATCAATAACCCAGAGGAGCTGCATGCACGTTCTTCTTGACTGCGTTCACTGAGAGAAACCGAAAGTTAACGGCAAAAGAAAGTGTAGTACCTTAGATGTCCTGTAGGAGGCGGAAAAGAAACACCGCTAGACATAAGAAACAGCACACCTTTATAGTTTTAAAAATGTGATGCAATCTAGGAAAGCCCACCACAAGTGTATTTTGCCAATGTATTTTCAGAGATTATAGACAAGATGTTATAGAATAATAATTTAATGAAAACCCAATTTTGACAAAAATTGACATTCGACCTATCCTATCCTAACAAACCATACATCAATGGAAAGCTTATTTATTCAGCTTTGAGATGGTGTATAAATCTCAATTTCAAAAAATTGACCCTTATGACTGGTTTTGTGCCATTGACATTGACATATTGTCACAACTGCATGTTTATTGTATTGATGTTTCATCCGGTAAAACGTCTCTATCTGCATTTTATTCAGCTACATGGTTTTTCTCCAGCATAGAGAAGTGTCCAGCAGTTATTTTTTCTCTTCAGTGGATGCATAAGATTTTCTGACAAAAATTAAGAAATTACTGTCACAGATTTTGGAGATTGATAGTTATGGCTCCCTCATATTTAACAGGTCACCCTGTAATTTTCTGTAAAATACAATGATATAATAATTATTATATTTATTCTTAAATATTGTATATTATAGTGAAACAGTGTTATTACAATAGTGATATTTTCTTATTTTGTTTGACGTTTTTTTAAATATTAATAATATGTGACCCTGGAGCACAAAACCAGTCATAAGGGTCAATTTTTTGAAATTGAGATGTATGCATCATCTGAAAGCTGAATAAATAAGCTTTCCATTGATGTATGGTTTGTTAGGAGAGGACAATATTTGGCTGAGATACAACTATTTGAAAATCTGGAATCTGAGGGTGCAAAAAAATCTAAATATTGAGAAAATCATCTTTAAAGTTGTTCAAATGAAGTTCTTAGCAATGCATATTACTAATCAAAAATTAAGTTTTGATATAATTAAGGTAGGAAACTTACAAAATATCTTCATGGAACATGATCTTTACTTAATATCCTAATGATTTTTGGCATAAACGAAAAATTGTTAATTTTGACCCATCTAATGTATTGTTGGCTATTGCTACAAATATCCCCCAGCGACTTGAGACTGCTTTTGTGCTGCAGGGTCACATATGATCTGCTTCATTCTCTCTCCAGATATTGATCAAGCCTTATATCTGTTCAATGAACTCCGGGAACAGGATCCTTTCCGCATCGAGAACATGGACACCTTCTCCAACCTGCTTTATGTGCGGGTGAGAGCTGCTGATGCTTTCTGAATGCATGCTATACATCTTACTATATATGTCTTTTTTTTTTAATTACTTTTAATCAATGCTATAACTCTTTCAGATCTTTCAGTAAAAATATCTCATTTTTCTGATGCCATATGCGGGACTCCTCCAATCGTTTACTGTGCTTTTAAACCCATCACATTCTTATAATTAACTGCATTCATTTTGAGAGCAACGCCCACATTTAAGAATCCAATCCACAGCCACCTCACCTTTTTTTGCTTTTTTGTCTTTTGCAATAATCCGTTACAGATGTATATGAAAGAAAAGCTCACTACTTTTTAATCGCAACTATAAAACTCATGCAAGATCCGGTCCTTCTTCCTCAGTGCATGATCAGAAATGTACTTTTCTTAAGCAGTTAGGCACAATACTAAGCAAGACAGTCATCATTTTCTACCCTTCATGTCGTTTCAAATCCTTTAGACCTTTGATAATCTTTGAAACACTAGATATTTTAAAAAGTCCAAGTAACCAATACTTAGAAGGTCCAAAAAGGTCATTAAGGCATTATAAAACCAATCCATATGAATCGAGTGATTTAATCCAAGTCTTATGAAGAGACACGATCACTTCATGTGACGAGCAGATATATTTTAGGCTTTTATTTACATCTGCGATGATCTACACGCATACATAGAGCACATCAAATATGGCAGATATAGAAGCTTGTGTGTGTGTCCTGTTCTCAAAGACTAACAGGTTTAAGGAGGATCAGACTGAGATCTTAAAACTGTTTCTGGGTCAGATATTCAAGTTTTCAAGTACAATAATGAGAGATTATCTGCTGATATATTACATTAAACAGAAATATAACACAGTGCTGAAGTCCGGTAGTCCTCTGTTTGTTCAGATCCTGTGTTTGTCTGTTGTCAGAGCATGAAGCCGGAGCTCAGTTACCTGGCACACAATCTGGTGGAGATTGATAAGTACCGAGTGGAGACGTGCTGCGTCATCGGTGAGGATGAGACACCAGTTTAAACACGAGCTCTAAATGAACTGTGGTTCACCGCTGGGCCATCTTTGCATCACACTTGGTACCTTCTTTTGTTTTCAAGAAAATCAATGTAATGTATTTTTGTTCAATAATATTTTTTGGTTATTATTTGGAATTTTGAGGGGATTTTATGGTACGACGGTTTATTAGCTTTTTTTTTTTTTCACGGTCATTTATGCTGAAATGTTTTTTTTTCTTCCTTAGTATTTTTGTCTTGTTTTCTAGTATTAATATCTAAAAATTCTTGAATCAGGATGCATTTACTTGACAAGTAAAATGACTTGTTTTCTGAAAAAAAAATTGTTCATTTTTGTTTAAAACAAGCAGAAATATCTGCCAGCGGGCCAAGAAAAGCAATCTTGTATAGCCTTTGGATTAAGATTAATTTTCTTACCGCATTGGCAGATAATTTTGCTTGTAAATGCATCCTGATTCAAGAATTTCTAGATATTAATACTAAAAAGCAAGACAAAAATACTAAGGAAGAAAATAATTTTTTGCAGAGTATGACTGAAGGTACCAAGTGTTACTTTTTTCCCGACGCTTTAACATTTCTGAATCGTGTCCATGTTGTGTGTCGTGTGTGTGTGTGTGTTCACATAGCTATAACATTTTTTGTTCAGTTCTGACTAAAGAGGCCCAGAGGGTTCAGCAGGAGTGTAAAGTGGTTGTTGAGAGCATGTTATTGAATATAATTTCTCCATGATTGAAGTTAGCAGATGTTTGATTTTTTCAGTTTTACTTCATTTGACAGATACAGTGCCAAAGCATAATGGCCCAAAACACACCTTTCAAGACCTTTTATGTTAGAATAAGAAGTTTAAATATATTTTAAAAACTACACTAATTGATTTCTTGAACAAGGATGTGAGAAAAAGAACCTATAAAATCCAGCTTGTTGAGGAAATGGTCTAAAATAAAGTATGTTTGGAATCACTGAGTGTCTTCTGAACAGCGTGTGTTTTGTTGTCTGCTCACAGGTAACTACTACAGTCTGCGGTCTCAGCACGAGAAGGCCGCTCTGTATTTCCAGCGGGCTCTGAAGCTGAATCCACGCTGTCTGGGGGCCTGGACCCTCATGGGTCACGAGTACATGGAGATGAAGAACACCTCCGCTGCCATCCAGGCCTACAGGTATTCAAATCAACTCATTGTAAAGGTGTCTAAACTTTTGCACAGCCTATTTATCACATTCAATTTTAAATACTGCTTCACTGAGACTTTTTGTCCTAAAAACATCACATTATTCAGCTTTCTCTAGAAACTGAATGGCATGTCACTATGAGAGCAAATTATTCTGCAGCCTCATAGGGGTGCCCAAACTTTTGCATAAAACTGTGTATATACATACAAACTATCGTTCAAAAGTTTGGGTCAGTAAGTTTTTTTTTTTTTTGGAAGCAGATTAATACTTCTGTTCATCAGGGTTGCATTAAATTGACCAAAAGTGACAGTGAAGACCTTTACATTGTTAGATAAAATTCAAATAAATGCTGTTCTTCTGAACTTTCTATTCATCTGTGAATCCTGGAAAATAAAATTTATCATTTTCCACAAAAATATTGTGCAGCACGACTGTTTTCAACATTGATAATAATCAGAAATGAAAAATATTGTGCAGCACGACTGTTTTCAACATTGATAATAATCAGAAATGTTTCTTGAGCAGCAAATCAAATGTTCAAAAACGTAAAAAAATGTACCCACCCAAATCTTTGAATGGTAGTGTGTGTAGAGTGTGCAGCACAAAAGCAGTCTTAAGTCGCTGGGGTATATTTGTAGCAATAGCCAACAATACATTGTATGGGTCAAAATTATACATTTTTCTTTTATGCCAAAAATCATTAGGATATTAAGTAAAGATCATGTTCCATGAAGATATTTTGTACATCTACTGTAAATATATCAAAACTTAATGTTTGATTAGTAATATGCATTGCTAAGAACTTCATTTGGACAACTTTAAAGATGATTTTCTCAATATTTAGATCTTTTTGCACCCTCAGATTCCAGATTTTCAAATAGTTGTATCTCAGCCAAATATTGTCCTATCCTAACTATATATATATATAATTATAGTTAGGAAATTGAAATAAATATAAATGTAATACTTTTTTTGTTCTTGTCTCTTAGGCATGCAATTGAAGTGAACAAAAGGGACTACCGGGCCTGGTACGGACTCGGACAGACCTATGAGATCCTCAAGATGCCCTTCTACTCGCTCTACTACTACAGAAAAGCTCATCATCTGAGGTGAAGACGTCACCAGCATCATTCAGTGTGTGTTCCTCAGCATCAGCTGACTCACGCTCTGTGTTTGTGTTGGTTTCAGGCCTAATGACTCGCGAATGCTCGTCGCTCTCGGGGAATGTTACGAGAAGCTGTCTCAGCAAGTGGAGGCCAAGAAGGTAAAGAGGCGGCTCTTGATTTTCCTGCAGATTGTGTGTGTGTGTGTGTGTGTGTGTGTAGTAATGCTGCTAACGCTCTGCTCTGCTCTGACGGTTCAGTGTTACTGGAGGGCGTATTCGGTCGGAGATGTGGAGAGAATGGCTCTTCTGAAGCTGGCCAAGTGAGTGTGTTTTCCTCAGGAGTGTGTTGTGTGAGTGCTGATGATGCTTTCAGCGAAACCGTGTGTGTGTGTGTGTCTGTGTGTGTCTGTGTGTGTGTGTGTGTCTGTCTGTGTGTGTGTGTGTGTCTGTCTGTGTGTGTGTGTGTGTCTGTCTGTGTGTGTGTGTGTGTCTGTCTGTGTGTGTGTGTGTGTCTGTCTGTGTGTGTGTGTGTGTCTGTCTGTGTGTGTGTGTGTGTCTGTCTGTGTGTGTGTGTGTGTCTGTCTGTGTGTGTGTGTGTGTCTGTCTGTGTGTGTGTGTGTGTCTGTCTGTGTGTGTGTGTGTGTCTGTCTGTGTGTGTGTGTGTGTCTGTCTGTGTGTGTGTGTGTGTCTGTCTGTGTGTGTGTGTGTGTCTGTCTGTGTGTGTGTGTGTGTCTGTCTGTGTGTGTGTGTGTGTCTGTCTGTGTGTGTGTGTGTGTCTGTCTGTGTGTGTGTGTGTGTCTGTCTGTGTGTGTGTGTGTGTCTGTCTGTGTGTGTGTGTGTGTCTGTCTGTGTGTGTGTGTGTGTCTGTCTGTGTGTGTGTGTGTGTCTGTCTGTGTGTGTGTGTGTGTCTGTCTGTGTGTGTGTGTGTGTCTGTCTGTGTGTGTGTGTGTGTCTGTCTGTGTGTGTGTGTGTGTCTGTCTGTGTGTGTGTGTGTGTCTGTCTGTGTGTGTGTGTGTGTCTGTCTGTGTGTGTGTGTGTGTCTGTCTGTGTGTGTGTGTGTGTCTGTCTGTGTGTGTGTGTGTGTGTGTCTGCGTGTGTCTGCGTGTGTGTGTCTGTGCGTGTGTGCGCGTGTGTCTGTGTGCGCGCGCGTGTCTGTGTGTGTGTGTGTGTGTCTGTGCGTGTGTCTGTGTGTGTCTGTGTTTTCAGGCTTCACGAGCAGCTGAATGAATCTGATGACGCTGCACAATGCTACATCATCTACATCCAGGACATTTTCTCATGTGGTGTAAGTTACTGGATTTCAGTTCATAAATCTCTCACACAGCAAGGCTTATGTATGTTATGTTATGTATGTACAGCAATGTGCCTTATTATTATTATTATTCTTCTTCTAGTGAATGTTCTGTAGGAAGGCTTATTCCCAGCTAACAGTGTTTGGTTCCCAGAATGTTAGTTTTTATGGTTTGTTTTGGGTTAGCCAGGAAAGTTTTCGTAACATTCCCAGAATCTTAGTTTTTAGTTTGTAGAATATTATTCAAACGTTAATCTAACATTCCCCTAATGTTAATGTAACGTTCCCAGAACCTTAGTTTTTTGGTTCCCAGAACGTTATTTTGTTAAGGTTTGTTTTTTGATCACAGGAAAGTTTTCTTAATGGAAATAGAACGTTAGTTTTTGGTTTGTATAACGTCATTATAACATTCGCTTAACATTGTAACGTTTTCCTAACATCTTTACTCCGATATGATGTGTATGGACGCCTAATCAGTATTATACAAACCATATCTTGTTTTTATCTATAGTTTAATTAATAAAAATGATCTGAGCACATCAACTATCATATGTAAGATTAAATAAGATGAAATCGCTCCATTATTGGGTACCCAGATTTAACATTTCTTCAGCACCAAATAAAAATGACTGCAACACAATGTATGTGTTATAAAATATGACATTTATTCTCAGATATAAAAAAAATACTTGACTTAAAGTAGGATATCAGTACATTAATTTCTTGCCACTGAAGTGTAGGTTTAAACAAAAACCTCTCTCTGAACATTGCTCTCTTAAGTTAGCTATGTCAAATCCCTCCGAAATCATATTTACTCTCATAACTATATTAATTTGAAGTAATCATTCAATAAAGAGATGGATAAACGAACAAGAAAGAAATGTAAATGTTCATTGCCAGAATGGCTGGATTTTAGTACATGACCATAAAGAATGAAACCGGGTGCCTACTGACATTTTACACTTATTACAATTTTCTGAAGTCTTGATCTGCTATAATGACGTCTGTGAAGGACCTTAAACTGAATCAGATGATGCCTTACATTCACAGAACATGTACATTTCTCAAGCATTCATCCCACCTATTGTCATGAATGTTCAAACCCATGTCTTCTTCCCAGTCATGTTTTATTTTCTCTGCACTTTTTCTAATAGTAACTTATAACAGTTTGACACATTACCACTCACTCCGGGGTGTACATTAACAATTGTCCCTAAAATAGGATTCAAACTCAAAACCTCAGTCTGGAATGTTTTCTAACAAAATCTCTGACTTGTACATAACGGGAAAAATGTACAGAAGCAAGGTAATGGAGTTTATATGACAAAACTATTTGAATTTGTATTGTATAATTTTGAATTATTGACAAGTGGCATTTATCAAAACTGAATATTATGTGGCATTTAATTAGATTTTTTAAAAACTTGAATATTGAGCATTTGAAATGTAACACAACTGAATTTTTTTATTATAGCGGAGTTTTATAGACGTGTGTGTCTGTGTGCCTGTGTGTGTGTGTCTCAGGAGCAGCTGGAGCACGCTGAGGTCAGCACCGCTCTCAGGTATCTGGGTCAGTACTACTTCAAGAACAAGCTGTACGACGAGGCGTCTCTCTGCGCTCAGCGCTGCTGCGATTATAACGACGTGAGTTTCTCTTCATCAGCCCACTCGAACTCAGGGATGCAAACTTGTCACCTTTCGGGAAAAATTTTCATTTTGAATCCAAAATTGGTCATGCGAGCGATTCGTGTAGATCTGGTGAGTTCTTAAAATGGTCTTTTTACTAGAGGTCGACCGATTCATCGGTTTTGTAGATTAATCGGCACCGATAGTTGATTGGCGGAACTATCGGTTATCGGCAAAAATCCATGCCGATAGTTTTCCGGGTTGCGTTATATATATGCGTTATTATACAGTACGAGTATAATAACACATAATAACAAATGTTAGCATATTTAAAACTTTTTGTAACAGTCGCTGGTATATCTTTGTTTTTAGATAATATTAGCATATTTTAGGTTGTGTAGCATGTTTTTTTTTTTTACGTTGATAGTATGTTGTCATGTTATTAGCAGGCGTTAACATGTTTTAACATTTTTATATAAACTGGTAGAATGTTTCTAGGAGTTGCTGGAAAGTTAAGATTATTGGGATGTTTTTTTTTTTAAGAAGTTGGTAGTATGGTAACGTGTTTTAACATGTTAGCATATCTTAGACACTTAGCTGAAAGGCAAAACAGATGACTTGTATGTTTAGATTTGAATTTGTCTCTAGTTTAAATGGTGGATCAGAAGCAACGTGATTAGAATCTGTAAACTACAGCAAAGACTACCTACAGCCATATTTGGAGAAAAATCATTTAGTTTAATAAATGCCTATTTATTTCCTCTTTGCTAGAATTTCTGCACCATGGAACAAAGAGGCAAGTGTAATAATTAGTGGTGTAACCTGTGGAACTGGTTTGTAATGATTGGTTTTCAGGCGCGAGAGGAAGGCAAGGCTTTGTTGAGGCAGATCTCTGCGGTGCGAGAGCAAGGAGAGCCTTCATCCACAGACCTGTCTTTAGCCTGCGTCTTCAACCCACTGATCAACACCACCACACCCGTCAGGAGAGCGTCTCCACTCGACCTGTCCTCCGTCACACCCTGACACAACTGTTCGTACAGACAACGGTGCCTGTTATATCAAATAAACTGATCAAACATTGACCGTAGAGTGTTTTATTACAAAACGCACCCGTATTATACATTAGATGTATAGTGACAAACGAACATCTCTAACCACAGCAACCTTCCCAAAGGCATGCAAAATGTGCAAAAGAGGAGCCAAAGCAAGAATGTAGTGCCACTTACAAACATGCCAAAGACTTGCACGCGTATTTGGTGACAATAACATTGAATTCTTAAACATTCATTCTCAAACGTTTTGAAACTGTTAAAGCAGCAACCATGAAAGAGTTTAAGGAATTAGTTCTGTTCAGCTTTACATATTTGGAAGACAAATGGAATGTAGGTCACTATTTGGAATCAATGCTTCTATCTTGCTTCTACGTTTTGATTTGGTTTGCATAACATACAAAAAAATAAAAATATTTAAAACAGCATGTAGGGAGAATAAAACAGGTAATAGCCTTTGCTCTTCAAATGAGTTTCACAATAGAAACCCTTCAACACAATTTAAAAACTCCCATCAAAATAAGGCCCATTTGCACATCAAACGGCCACCTGATTATATTAAAGACAGCGATATAAGAGCTGTGTCTGCTGCTAATATTTGAATCGGCGCTGGATGGGAGTGGACGGAGGCGACGGCTGGTGTGAGTGTAACGTGCGGAAGAAGGGCCGCTTCTCCGGAGGCTGGTTCTCCACCCCGCAGCCTCTCTTCTTGCCGGAGCCGGACGCTGGAGGAGGCGGTTTGCTCTGCGAGCGCACCAGCAGCTTGTCTTTCCTGCGCAGATCTGCTTTGACCAGCTGCAGACTGCTGTGCAGCTCCACCAGCATCTGATCCTGCAAACACAGAACGGGAGAGGAGAGGCCAAACCACACGGTGTGATTTCATGAGAAGTAAATTAACCGATTAGATGATGAAACCAGCTCAGGAACATCAAGAAGATTACAACAGACAGCCTGTTAGTAAACTGAATCAGCGCAAGCAGTTCAGAGGAAGGGATGCGTGTGAATCTTGTGCATCGTTCTCATGTTAGTATTCGGTCTGAATCAGTGTGGAAGGAGTTAAAGAGAGAATACAGGAAGAAACAGAGGAAGAGTTAGTTGTTCATCCAGCTAGACATTGTTGAACATCTGTAATATCTCAAATAAACTTTCCTTTTTATTACGCAAGGGAGAATTCACGGCTAGCTGTGCATTAAACAATGTTAATGCACAACGTGGAGTGCATTAAAATCATTTAATGCACAGCTAACCGTGGATTATTCCGCTTATACCACGGTCACTTGTCAGCATTGATAATGATGTTTACAGTGAAACATGTGACCGAAAGGGTTGTTTTCGTCAGTTACAGCTCGTTAGCTCTCAAATCAGACACAGAGATGTGTCTGACAATAATGTGGTGAGATCACATTTATATGAATTACAGCATTTATTTGAGTTTATATTATAATCGAGATTGAGAGAGAAAGTTGTGTGTGTGAATTACCTGCATCTTTCTACAAACAATGAAGCTGAGTTTAGTTACTTAAACAGTGCTGAGAAATATAATGTAGTGATTCAATATCGAAGCTATTTTGAATAAAAGTCACATGGCAGCGCTGCGTGAGTGATGTGTGTGAAAGCAGCGCATTAACATTGAACGGTGATTAAACTGAACTGGAGCTACCTGTGCATTAATCGGTTTTAATGCAGAACTGCCAGCCAATCAGGATCGAGTATTCAGACAGACCATGGTGTAAAACTAATGTGTGTGAGCTGAAGATCCCAGCTAAGACCGAGCGTAAGGTTTGGCTGTATTGAGGCGTAGCTACCTGTTTGGCGAGTCTGCCGTCGGCGGAGGAGAGTGCGATGCGCAGCTTCTCTCCGTCGGTGTTACGACAGCACGCTCGTTCTCCAGACTGCAGCTCCACACCCAGCATCTGGAGCTCCATCCGCAGCTGCTTCAGGTTCTACAACACGCGGTACATGCCAGAAAACAAGCTCATTATTGGAGATCATGTCAATAATCAACAGTGGAGGAGCGCCCCCTGGAGGAACAAACAGGATCTTCATCTCACACAAACACTAGTAGCAGCTCATAACAGCAGACAGAGTTAGAAATAATTCCAACCAATCAGCATTACTTGAATTCATTTTACAAACAATAACGTAAGGTTTGAAAACACTAGAATATTGGAACAACTGTTACTCTTCATCAGTATTTCTGTCTTGTTTTCCAGAAATCAACAGACGAGAACGCAATAGAAAAGTCATCATGTTCTCTGTTAAAAACTAATCAAAATGAAGTGAGTTTATGATTAAAACAAAACCAATATCTGCTAATGGTCTCTGAAAACCAGCTTAAATCAAAGGCAAAGCAGGTTTTCACTCCCAGAATGACAGATATTTGTTCTTGTTTTAAAGCAGCTCAATTGTTCACTTCATCATTAAGCATCTCCAATAAAACTCTATTGGAAAAGATGTCAAAAGTACTGAGGAACATGTTGATTTTTTGCAAGATGACTTTATGCCTTGATTTTTTTAGGCCTTAATTTGTAGAAGACTTTTTAAGACTCACAGAAATCCTGATTATGAACAGACATAAGTTAACAATGAACAATATTATATTTATAAATTCATAGTAGCCTTAGGGATTAAAGCCAAAAATAAATAAATACAAATATTTTGGCCGTGTCATAAATCATTTACTACTGAAGATGTTTTATAACAGCTTTTCTGAAATAAGTGACACTATCTGCAATCATCGTCAGTTATTGCTCTTGGTATTGTAAAAATCATTCATGCTGATTAAAATTACACATGAAAATAAGTGGGTTTTTTGTCTGACAAAACTCGATTTGACACATTACAAGAACAAGTCTTCACACGGTTATTTCTTCATCCTCACAGTTTTATCAGTATTTAAGAGCCTCTTCCAAAGCTCTCGGTCTCTAGCTGTACTGCTCTAAACCACATCTGAAGCGTGTTACGAGCACAGGGCTGTGCGATACTGACAAAGAAATTACATCTCCATATTTTCTGGGATTTTATCGATAACGACAATTAGACGATATTGTGTTATTGTGCTGGTATCTTAAACTGACTCAAAGTTTTTGATATTCTTCATATTCTGTGTGGTGGTCAGTTCACACTGATAGAAATTCATCTTTTTCAAAACGTTTAAGCTGATTTTTACCTTTATAAAGCCTTTTTTTTGTGTGCATTATCATTTGAGTCAAATTCTTACATTTAATCAGTGAATTAGAATAAAAAGTCACTTGGGCTGTTACCAAGCAAATGAAATCAGTATCAGCAAAATTCATCTTTGCAGTGCAGAGGAAACACAGGAGCTGCGTCTGAAGTGGCATTTAGATGCATTTACACACCGTTTAGTGCAAGACATGAATGCATTTAACCTGCAGTTACAAATGCATAAATAATAGTTTGATATACTAAACATAAAACGTTGAATACTGTTATTTGAAATTATTTAAATAATAAAAAGATACTTTGAATGTGAAATTAAAACCACCAGTAGGTGGCAGCAAGTCACTGATAATAAGTGAGTCACTGCGATTGAACCGAATCATTTAAACGGTTGATTCATTCAGGAACGAAACGCCGTCATGTTGCTCAGAGATGCAAAACAGTGCTGTGGCTGTGTTTGGAATTATTTGTATTGGCGAAATAGCACAAAAACAGGCAATATGGTGTCTAAAACGTCTCTTAATTAACTTCTTGTTTATTGAACTGTTGTAAAACACCAATATCACATTTGTAATCATGCTAATTTTTGGAGAAGAAACAGCACTCTTCGTGTGAAATTGATTGATTAACTATATGAAGTGGTATAAATATATACATTTTCTGCCCCGTGTCTTGAATTTGTGATCATTCTGAATCATGCAGTGAAAGAACACACACGCACTAGTCTAGACTTCACGTAATGTATGCGTGCGCTCTGTAGGGCTGTTTGGAATGGTTTTTGCTAAATACTTGATAATGTCAAATCTCACATCATTAAAACAACAATTATGATATTATCACAGACCATATATATCGCACACCCCTACGAGCAATCCTCCTGTTTATAGCCACTTAATGATCCATCACGTGTGGTATTCCTCATGTGTGTCTGCTAAAAGAGTAAATGCAGATGTTGAAGCAGAAGCAGAAGCAGAAGCACTGACCCGCTGGCCCTCCTGCAGCTTGCGCTCGGCTGAAGTCGTCAGGGTTCCTGTGGCTCCCGCCAGGGGCCCACTCTCCTGGAGACGCTTCAGCTCTGCAGTTGATTTGATCTTTGAATCTTGTTCCAGCTTTCCGAGCGTCTTCAGCTCCAGCTCCTCGCTCTCGGGATCCGCGTCTCGCTTGTGTGATGAAGCCAAACGCCGCGAGCGCCGCGGAGCACTGACGTCACTCAGAGGCGGGAAAATAGGAGCGGGAGCTATATGAGCCTCTTCCTTCTCCTTCAGAGCAGCAGTGAGCTCTCGGATCTCTTCATCTCGCTCCTTCAAGACACCAGAAACGGTCAAAAACACACGTCCTGTACATATAATAACATAACCTTCACTCAGTTGTGTTCAAAAACTCATATTATAATAAAGTATTATATAAACAATTAACTTTATTCAGCAACAACATTAAATTCATCAAAAGTCAAAGTAAATACATATATATATATATTTCAAATAAATGCTGTATTTTTGAACTTTCTATTTATTTGTGAATCCTGAAAAATAAAATGTAACAGTTTCCACTATAATATTGTGCAGCACAACTGTGTTCAACATTGATAATAATCAGAAATGTTTCTTGAGTAGCAAATCAGCATATTAGAATGATTTCTGAAGATCATGTGACACTGAAGACATTTAGCAGATGCTTTTATCCAAAGCGCCTTACAAACGAGGACAATAGAAACAATCAAAACAACAAACATCCTGCTGGCGATGTTTTAAACCGCAGTAACTAATCTGATGTTAATAGCAGGTTTGTACAGGGTTTGGTTGAATTGCCAGATTCACAGATGACTGTATGCTCTCGAACATCACTGACCTCTAGCTCCTGGCTGTAATATTTCTTCAGGCTGCTCTTCAAGTTGTTGAGTTTGTTCTCGCATCTCTTCTCCATCAGATCCCTCTCGGTTTCCAGCGTCTCGCTGCACAAGGACAGAACTTAACACCATGCACATGATTGCGTTCTTCACGCACAGAAGCACTAGTGAGGCACCTGAAGTCGTCCTGCATGCGGCTGATGACCTCCATCATCTCAGTGCAGACCTGCTCTCGAACCGCGGCCTCCAGCTCCTCTTTCTCCTGCCGCTGACGCAGCACTTCACGCTTCAGAACATCGATGGCCCTCAGCAGCGCCTGAACACAGCACAATTACACATCTTCACGCTTTCTGATGAGTGACGTCTCACATGAAAACATATAGGCATCAACACAGCTGGGTAATGACTGATCACATGTAATCAGACCCCAAAAATGATGCACTTGTAATTAGATTAAACTACATTTTTAAATATTTGTAATCAGACTAATTACATTATTGATTTGATGTTTACATATTCCCGCCATAGCGACAATTTAATCGTGATTTATTGGTTCTCCCCAATACTTCTTTTTCATCTTTTATATTTTCCTTTCTAAAATAACCTACCGCTTATACACACACTAATCAAATGGATATAATTACACAGAAAATTGAGACGCCACACAGCATTTGAGCACTGGATTTACACAAATCATCCACATAAGAAGCGTTTTCTCAACATTGCATCAGCTCCTGATGAACACATTAATGTTTATTTGAATTATGGGTTATTTAACCATGCGTTATTATGTCTTTGGGAAGCTTTTGTCTTTCAAACACATTAAAATGCACAGATTCACATTATTTCTTATTTACATGTAATGCAGGGATTCCCAAACTTTTTTTGTTGTCAACCGAATATCTTTTACCTAATGTATTCACCTGAAACTCCCCTGAGATTTTAAGGTAATAAGTTAATAATTAAGTAACATGTTTGCATGTTCATGGCTCTCTGACGATGGTTAATGGTCACATGACATGCAGGTAAACAAATACAATATTTCATATTTTTTATTAAGCCTTTTATTTTTATTTAATTTATATTTATTTTGATTTTACTTTTTTATGATGTAATTCATTATTACTTGGGATGTAACGATTAACCGCGAACCGGTTGAAAATATTTTCAAATATGTGACTATTCAAATCGGTTGAGATGCTAAACAAAATCGCGATTCATTTAGAGGCAAGATATTATATGAATGCATGTCTGAGGGGAACTTACTGTCTTTCGATGGTATTTTTTCTTTTCCTAGACAAAGCCTTAGTTTGTTTATATGAAGAGATTTATTTTATTTGTGTTACTTATTTATTTGATTTGGGGATTGTTTTAAAATTTAGTTTTGTTATTTACTTTACATTATATTTAAATGTTGTCATTTAGCAGACGCTTTTATCCAAGGCGATTAACAAATGTGGACAACAGAAGCAATCAAATCCAACAAAAGAGCAATGATATGCAAGTGCTATATTAGTACATTATTATAGCGTTATATTTCAATTTCACAAAGAAACGTACAGTATTTTGTCCA